TCATCAGGGCGATGAGTTTGAAGATTTCTGTCTTCTGGGTTATTGCGCTGTGTAGTCTGGTCGATGTTAACCAACGTTTCAGAGGTCATACTGCCTCCGTCATCAGGGCGATGCGTATGAAGATTTCTGTCTTCTGGGTTGTTGCGCTGCGTAGTCTAGTTGATGTTTACCAACGTTTCAGGGGTCATACTGCCTCCATCATCAGGGCGGTGAGTATGAAGATTTATGTCTTCTGGGTTGTTGCGCTGTGTAGTATGGTCGATGTTTAACAACGTTTCAGAGGTCATACTACCTCCATCATCAGGGAGATGAGGCACTGCCCTGATGATGGAGGCAGCAAGGACCTCTGAAACGTCGGTAAACATCTACCATACTATATGGTGCAACAACCCAGCAGACAGCAATCTTCTGAAGTACTCTTGTGAAACGCCTCAGTACTCGATAATCTGACACAACAAGGAACAGCTGGAAGAATGGATTACTGCAGAGGTTATCCTGCCTGGACCAGGAATGTATTGGGATATTAAAGACAGCGATATGACGCTAATGTTTTTGACAAGGACAGTGACTCGCAAAGCTGTGATTGTGGTAACAATGTCCTCAGCGCTACTCAGTGACCATGACAGTGAAAACAGTACTGTCTTAACCCGAGCGATGAGCAGCAATATACCTGCTACTACCTTCCTAGTATTCTTAACCAATCCGGTAACGTGATAGAAGCATCTTAGCCAATGGTAAACCGTTTGTTTCCGCTTGAGGGTAGACCACTTATAAAACTAAGAAAAGCTGACCCAAGGAAGTCATAGTTGCAGTGTTGGTCCTAGTGGTAGGAACAGTGCCTGAGAAGAATCTATTCACTCGCACATTCGTGTTGCACGTTGCTGGAGCAGGCAGTAGTCGAGTTCCAGGACTTACGAGAACTTACTCGTGTGTGTTTTGTGAGTGAATTACTGAACTCTTACATCGCTAGGTGGTGAAGAAATCTGACAGTGGCACATCGATAGAATTTGAGAGATATACCAAATAAAGGTACGTAATGAGCTTCTGTTTTTCTTCAAATTATTTACATTTCCCGACAAGTAATTTTAAAAATACATTATCTAACCTACACTGTTCATGAAAAATGTTTACACGAAAGCTTTATAGGCTATTTACCTTGCTAATTTTGGTTGGGGCGGGGTTGTAAGACAAAGTATACTAAATATTAAACGAATTAACGAAGTTGGGTGTGGTTATTATTATATAACAAGCAGTTATGTGTCACTGATTCTAAATAAGTGTATGTATTTCAAGTACTTTTTCGTGAATTATATTTTATATATTTTTAATGTTGAGATGGGCGTATAGTATGAATTGAAGAGAGCAGCACATACTCGTGGCATGATGATCTCACGAGAAGAATTTGTTCCCAGGTGATGGCAATTCGTATTCCAATTAGAAAGAGTTCAAAGCGAGCTACTGTAGTAGCTGAAAATTGAAAAACTTCGGAACCCATACCCGGCAATCATCCAAATGCCGTAAAGCACTTCTCATATGCTTCAAAATAAAAATAAGAAGCCTATAAAATAGGGAACGATAGATCTGGAATAAATTACGGAGGACTCTTTCCTTTTGTCCCACATTTAATTATTTTTGGTTGTAGTTGGCGGTGTTTTATTAAGCAATTTATATCTTATATTTAACTGTAAACTATATATAATTCTTTCCTGTCAGAAACTGTTTGTATTTTTTGTATTTAAACGTGCAGTTGCCCATTTCCTGGCTATACACACTCAGGTGTTTCATTCTGTCACTTTTTGAGGTAAGGATTTTTATAGCGGGGCAGGAATTAATCAATAATTTTATTCGAGACCATTAACTTTTGAAAGCGATATCTACCTATATTACAGAGAACGACAATTAGTTAATTTGTATCTGGGACTGATAATTATTGTGATTTAAATCCACATGCTGATATATGCAGAAATATAATTTTAAAATAAATAATTTTGAAAGTTATGCAGCTATTATAACCTACGTTTTCAGGATGTAAATTTAAATTTTTTACTTACAACATAGCTTAGTGTTTTCGTTTGCATATCCTATGTTTTGCCTGGCACAAGACATCACTAGAAGTTTATTTCAACGCTTATTTAAGAAGTGGACAAAGTCCACATATCAGGTTATAGCTTTTAACCACAGAATTACGATGTCAAATAATTTGAAATGTACGTACAAGACTGTATTTTACCTTTCTTCCAATACTACAACATAAACAGATACCATTTCAAACCTTGTTTCATCTTCCTGCATAAATTAATAGTCTTATAAGCATTAGGCCTTTTTTAGAATTATAAATGAGTACATTTATTTTAATTTACAACCAAACAGATAATAAGTTTGATATTTAATGTAGTTTTAGGCTTAAATAAATTGCACCGACTGTACTAGTTCGAAAAACATTCAGACTATAAAAAGCATGCGATTTAGTAAAGTAATGAACGTATGTTTTAATGTATTTTAGATTAATATTGTGCTTTAGAGTTCTATAAACATTGCTAACTTTTATGATTTTATCGCACATTACAACAGCTTAAATAAACTTGACAGAGAATATGAAGACATTCTTTAATATGATGATGCTGACTTTTTCCAGTCGTTTGCGGCAATGAAAGATGTAACTGTAACAATGCCATGACATTTGTCTAAACATAAATTATAATTTCTATCATATTAATGCACCAAATCATGAATTAGATGAGACAACAATTAAAATAACTCTTGTTTATGTTATTAGGCTTGCAGAATGTGAAACTTGGTAAAATAAGATACCAAATAGTTTGAATTATCGCCGCTTTATGTGCTTAAGATGGAAGAACAGTTTAGAACATCTCAACAAACTCAGCCTTGTACCTGATTGCTGCAAGTAACGATTCAGTCTCAAGGTCTGGAGTTTGTTGTACCCGGTGTATCATTATAAGGCCAGCAACTGTCGGTCAACGTAACTTTAAATCAGTTTACTTTGAATCAACAGAACACTTCAAATAACAGTAATCTCGTAACCCAACAATTTTAAGCTCAACATATGCTAGATGAAATGCAGTTTACACAGAACGCTGGTCTGATAGTTGATACTGCCTGCCTCTTAATCCAGATCAAAGACGAAACCACACGCCGAGAGAATATAGCCTCAAGACTATAAATGAGAACTTCCGTATGAGAAAATGATAAGTAAATATATATAACAGTAGTAAATTGCTAACGATCAGATTTTATTATACTATAAAAGCGAACAGAACTAACTTCATAATGCAACACAAACTTAAGGCTTTAAACACAAACAGTAAGAGGTATTTAATATCAGAGCTATTGCATAAACTTTTACCTACCAAACCCCCTCAGCCATTTATACTTCTAAAGAACAAGTTTGTGATTATCCAAAAATGTATCGCATCGTATTACACAGGCCTACATCTCACGGCAACGAATGACCACTGCTTGCACTTAGGGACTCAGGTCTCTTTGGTTCACAGTTAATATGTAAATACGAATATCCCTCTCAAGCTGTGGCTAAGGTATATAACCACATAAAAAGAACTGTGCCATAACAGAAACAGAAAAGAGTAAAAAGATTTCCGTCTTCTGGGTTGTTGCGCTGTATAGTCTGGTCGATGTTTACCAACGTTTCAGAGGGCATACTGCCTCCCTGATGACGGAGGCAGTATGACCTCTGAAACGTTGGTAAACATCGACCAGACTGCACAGCGCAACAACCCAGAAGACAGAAATCTTCAGACTCATCGCCCTGATGATGGAGGCAGGATGACCTCTGAAACGTTGGTAAACATCGACCAGACTGCACAGCGCAACAACCCAGAAGACAGAAATCTTCAGACTCATCGCCCTGATGATGGAGGCAGGATGACCTCTGAAACGTTGGTAAACATCGACCAGACTATACAGCGCAACAACCCAGAAGACGGAAATCTTCATACTCACCGCTGTGAGAACCTCAAGTCTTATACAGAAAAGAGTAACTCGAGCGACTTCGAACCCAGCGTCTACCAGGCCGAAGACATGTGCGCCATAATCATGATAATAGTCAAAAGACTTGCTATTATTATCATTATAATAAAGCTAACGAAATATTTACAAAAATCCCAAAACCACAATTATACAGATTATGCCTGAAATCATATAAGTAAACAGAATAATCGATTATTACAATGTTAACTAATGTTATACGGTGTCGTGACTATTTATTCCTGCAAGGGATAAATGGCGGACGTGGTTTTTACAACAGCGCAAACATAATTATAATGGTGGTAAACCTGTAATTACCGTAGTTCTTTGCTGTGTGATGCCAACATTCAACGAGCTTGCGATGACCTTGAACCACGACTCCACGCACTTCTTGCAGGCATGGGCAACATTTAAGTAGCCTTGGGCAGGATCTAGTTTTCTTATTATGACCACAGGCAATGATGCTACACGTCAAGAAAGTTATTACCAATAGTTGGAAAAAATTAAGTTTGTATTCGAAGTTAGTGTAATAATAATAATGGTAAATTTAATTTATGCGAACCGGATAAAAAGTGACGGAGAAGCCTGGGGTTGCCCATGCAAATCTTACAACCTGTTCCCTTGAAAATCATAGCAGCAGTGTACCAAAAAATTAAAGATTACATTAAAATAAAAGCACGAATCTCAAAACCATTGTTTTTCTCTTTGTTTATTTATTTAATATTTGCTGCAATCATAAAGCCATGTCTGGAAAACCTATCATATTACAGATTTATTTCAGTTGAGTCGATAAATATTTTTAACCTTATTTTTCAATAAATGTTTATAACAGGTCTTTCCAAAAACGTTTCGATTGAAAGCTATAGATCGTAATAAGATTTACGTCGTATAATAAATAGTTTCTGACGGAGAGGTTGTATTGAATCCAAATTTTTACTCTTACCAGGTCACAAATGCATCATAATAATTTATTCGCAATTAAAATATTTGCTGAAAACACAGGACTTTATTACCGGTAGAGACGGAAACGTGGCACTGACTCCAGTGAGTACAGGCGTATCTTCTGTGTGGTAAGGCGAACGGGCACAACATGGAGCTAACACCTAGTGCTCAGATTAATAATTTGTGGAGATATTCCGCTCCCATATTCGTTTACAGGGTGTGATGCTTAATTATGCAAAGTTTAAACTCACTCTTACCTTTTATTGAAGCACCTGTTTGTATAATCCTTGAGGTTTCATGAACGGAGACTGTGAAAAAGTCCTGAGCGCTACTACAAAACTTGTGATCAGAATTTAACAGTTCTTTTCACTCGTGAATGGTGATTCGTCACGCAGACAGGAAACAAACGGGACGATTCACACACACACGTTCTGATTATAGGGCCCGCACGTGCCTTCTAAAAATACCGGACTCTGTTTCAGCATGCCGATGTCGACTTCTTTCATTCACGGACGTGTAGTTCCAAGCAGTCACGTCGATAATGGCGGGATATATCGAACTTGCGTTCTCTTTTGTATCGATACATAAAACTACCATCTGATTCTGCTTGTTAAGTCACTGACCTTCAGTGCTTTGAGATTCAAATGGTTTAAATGTATCGTTATTGCTAACAAATGGATATTTGTTAATTATCTATAAAATTATGAGTCTATGTTAGGGAACAGTAAACGAAACCAGTTAATATCTTATGTGCTGGAAAGAATAATTAGAAAAGATACTTCTTATAATAGAAACATACAAAATCTTGTCTGAAACAGAGTAACACGGACTATCCACGAAGATATAAATGTCCGGTCTCATTTGTAAAATATATGTAACACATATGGTTAGTCTTCCACAAGTTTAATAGTCAGTCTTAATGGTTCAACGTCTACATGTTAATGCAGCCATACAAGTTAACCAGTTTAATATTTATCATCAACATTGCCGGCAGTAGTCTTTGGCGGCTTATACACAACATCGAGTCTGTATGCACTACATCAGCCACACACGAATGGCACTTCTACTGTCGTGTATTTGTCTTC